GAGCAGCGCGGGACCCGTGCCGCTACCTTGAGCTTCACTTCCTGATCCACCTTCAGCAACGAAGCCATGGCCGGACCGGGCCGTGTCCGTCCCGCTGGAGACCGGAGGCGCTGAGGGCTCCGGGGAGGGGGCCGGAGGGACCTGAGGAGTCTCCGCTGCCCTCGGGACCCGGCCGCCCTCGCTGGCTCTCTGGCCGCTCGCTCGCTCGCTCCCTCCGTGCCGGCGCCCGCCTGCCGCCTGCCGCCTGCTGCCTACTCGCTCCCCTGCTCGCCCTCCCGGCTTTCGGCGCTCACGCCGGAAGTTGCGTCACAGGTCGTCGCCCGGACTCCGCCGGGAGGCGCGCGTGGTCCGCGCAGGCGCGCTGCGGCTCGGCCCGCGCTGGGGCGGGGATCTCGGGCTTCCGGCTTCCCGAAACGGCGAAGGGAAAGTGCGGGCGCTGCGGGCGGAGGGGTATAGAGGAGAGCGTCTTGGAGAGACCCAGAGACGCTGGCCCCTCCGTTGGCCCAGAACTCGCCTTCAGCAGCGACCTACACCGCTGTCGCCCTCAGGACGACCCCGTCGCGCCTCAGTGACGTGCGGGAGGAAGCAGGTGGCCGGACCAAGTTCAGGGTCGCGCTGAGGTTCCCGCTCCCCTCCCGGGGCCGCCGCCGAGCGCTAAGGCTAAAGCCACACAGACAGGTTCCGCTGTGCCCTTTCCCCGCCCCGCTGAGCTCCGCGGCCTGAGAGACCAGCAACGTGGTGGGCGTGGGCAGGTGGATGCCCCAGGTGTGGCAGCGCGGGGCCAGGGCGAGCTGGTGTGGACAGTGAATCTGGACCAGAACCAGAGCTGAGTCCCGTTTCCTCACGGGAACCTGAGGCCGCGTCCCTTCGTTCACAGCGCACTCGGTGCGTCTCTTAGCGTTGGCTTTTCCACTCCATAAAACGGGCCAGGATGCAGTAGGGTGCCAGGCTCCGGTACAGGTTAGAGCCTTTTAGTAACCACATTTTTTTTTTTTTTTTTGGTCGTCTTGAGACAGGGTCTCACTGTGCAGCTCAGGCTGGCCTTGCCCTCACTTTGTAGTGCAGGTTGGCCTCGAACTCGCAGCGATCCTCCTGCCTCAGCCTCTTGGTTGCTGGGATTACAGGCATGAGCCAACACCCCCGGCAGTCATCACATTTTTTTTTCCGGTACCGTGGATCGAATTCAGGACCTTGCACTTGCCAGGCAGGCGCTTATGCCACTGAGCTATATCCCCAGGCCCAGTCATCACATTTTAAAAAGAAAATGAGAGATGAAATTAAGTTTAACCATATGTTAGGTCCAGCTTATACAGTCAGCCTTCTGTGTATTTTGAATCCACAGGACCTAAACAGCAGCAAGTGGAAAACACAAATTACACATGTCCAGACTTTTAAATTGTCGTTATTCTCTAAACTATAACGACTACTTACGAACCATTTTCATTGTATTGGGCAGTACTAATCTCCCAGGACACCAGGGGATGACTGTACTATCGTTTAAGTGTATAACCTATATAAGAAATAGATGTGGCACATCCCTGTAATCCCAGCACTCTGGAGGGTGAGGCAGGAGGATCACCACAAGTTTGAGGCCACCTTGGGCTATGCAGTGACTTCATGGCTGGCCTGAACTGCATAGAAAAACCTTGTCTCAAAAAAAATTTTTTTTATGTTCTTTATATCAAGACTTTAACACTTGGTGTATGTTTTTACACAACCTCATTGTGCTACTCAATAGCTACCTGTTCCTCAGCTCTAGGAAATAAAAGGAAAAGAAAGGCCCCTGGTCAGGTAGGGCTTAATACTGGACAGACTCCAGAGTAGACTCACTGCATCACTGCAAATTTTGATTACTGTTAGGAAACAAGTGGCTAACAGACTATCATGGGTCTATTTTAGATAGGATGGCTGAGAAAAGCCGGCTGAAGGAAGCCACAGGCGGTGAACCGGGAGGAGCGGGTGGTTAGATTAAATGCAAAGACCCTGCATCAAGTTTCCATTCTGGGGTTCCCCTTGCTGGTGAACATTCACCTTGGGGCGGCCTCTGCACTAGGGGAGGTGGAGGAGTATACAGTTAATGTGCAGTGAAGTGAAGCCGGGAGTGGTAGCACATGCCTGTAATCCCAGGACCCAGGAGGCTGAGGCAGGAGGATCGTTGTGAGTTCGAGACCAGCCTGGGCTACATAGTGAGTTCAAGCCCAGCATGAACTGCATAGCGAGACCCTGTCTCAAAAAGACAAAACCTGACTACAGCCTCTAGCATCAGAGAGACCTGCCTTCCAGTACCAGCTCTGCACTAACTAGAATCCGGGCCGAGGGCTGCGATGCTGAGTCGCAACTGCAAAATGGAGTTTTAATAAGTGCCGGTAAGTAATTCATAGTACAGAATTCTGTGGGGTTGGTGTAGCTGTGAGAAATGGTGTTCGTGAGAGACAAGACAGCAGATCATAGCAGCCATGGTCAGAGAAGCTCTCTGCGCGGTGCCCAACATGAGGCCAGCAGTCTAAACCGAGCTGTGCCAGGACCACGCCCCTCTGGAGGCTCCCAGGGAGAACCTGCTGCACTCCCACTTCTAGCTCCCGGCAGCCGCAGGTGTCCCCTGGGTCGGAAATGACAGTGTTTCTCTTCACATCCCCTTCCTCCTCCTCGTGTCCATGTCCAGACTGCCCCTTCTAATGACGCACCAGGCGTGGTGGATGAGGGACCACCTGATCGACCACAAAGACGCTTTCAGAGGAGGGCGTCTTCAGCGCCTTTGGGGAAGGAGGGACATATCCAACCCAAAACACCAACATTACCTAAAACAGTCTTACTCATCCGCCGTGGCAACGGCTACGTTCTGTCCTCTTTTTATTTATTTATTTTTTCTGGTACCAGGAATCGAACTCACGACCTCACACACTTGCCAGGCAGGTGCTGTGCCGCTGAGCTAAATCCCCATCCCTGTTCTGTCCTCTTGGACAGCAGCCGTGACGGCGGTTCACTAACCATCCCTGCCGATCCAGAATAGTGCCCGGCACACAGCAGGGTCTCAGGAAACACTCGGAACCCATCACTAGGGTACGATGTTGGTTGCCCAGGACCCTCACATACAGCGCATGGTCACTGTCACTTTCCAGGGCATTTTCTCTATGCCAGGCGCACTGTGCTTCGAGCAAGCCACCTCACCTCCCCCTCACACGACCATGTCCCGTCCAGGACTGCGTGGTGTTCTCACGCTGTGAAGGAGAAGACCAGGCTCAGAAGGGCTGGCAAAATTGCTCAGAGCCAGGGGGCTGATGTATGGCAAAGACTGGTGTGAAACCCAGCGGGTGAGACGTCTGTCTTGGCCACTTTTCCCTGGCTAGGACACGGTGCCCAACGCCCTCGACTTCATGGAAGAGGGGTTTATCTGGCTCACGGTTTGAGCCCAGGGGCGGCTGCTCCAGGGCGGGGCAGCATGGCAGAGAGGCCTGGCGCGGCCAGGAAGGAGGCAAAGGGAGCAGCCAGGCAGGGCCACCTCTACCCCAGTCACAGCCCCCAACAGCAAGTCCGCTGGCATACAGCACCCCGGGGCCAGGCCCCTTCCCAACTCGGAGCTTTGAGGACACTGCAGATCTTTATTTTTTTTTATTTTTCATTTTTACTTTTGTCTTTTTGAGATAGGGTCTTGCTATGCAGTTCAGGCTGGCCTTGAGCTCACTTTGTAGCCCAGAAGTCCTCCCAACAGTCCTCCTGCCTCAGCCTCCCGAGTGCTGGGATTACAGGCGTGCGTCACCACGCCCGGTGACACTGCAAATCTAAGCCTTTGTGACAGCTGTCAGTGGCAGCAGGGCAGGAAGAACGGAAGACGCCAGACCTAGGTGCGGACAGCGCGGGTGTGAGTCCACGTAGCTCCGCTAGAGGGCGCCTGGCGCTGGAAAAATCGCTTCGGAAGGAGGCTTAAAGACTTAGCTACGCACTCAGCAAAGGCCAGAAAAATTGACCCACTTCCACGGGGCGCACCCGACCCCCCAACAGGGGCTAGCATCCCTTTAAAACTATAGGGAGGTCACTTCTGAACGTGGGGGTGATTCTCTAAGCAACATAAATCACCAAGAAAACAGGTAGATTTTTTTTTTTTGAGGCAGGGTGTTGTTATTAAGTTCAGGCTGGCCTTGAACTCACTAGGTAGCCCAGGGTGGCCTCAAACTCTTGGCGATCCTCCTGCCTCAGCCTTCCACGTGCTGGAATTACAGGGGTGCGTCACCACACCTGGCCAACGAGTACATTTTACTTCCTAAAATTGTAAAAATTTTGCACACCTGGAAAATACCTTAACTTGCTAAGCCATTCACGAAAACTGCTTAACGTTCTTTGAGAAAAAGATTAGGAATGCAATAGATACATAAGCAAAGGAATCAAACATAATTCATAAGAGAGGAACCGCGATAGGCGCACAGAGGGCCAAATCATCAGCCTTCCGGGTAACTGGTGACGGCAGTTAGAATGCCAGGGAAGGGCCTTTTGTTTGTGCTTTCGTCCCTCAAATATATGAGCCACAGCACGGGTCCAAGCTTCAAAAACAGCTCCCTCCGACAGCACTGCAGCTGCAACAGAATTATGGGCAACCTCTCTGAAAGCAATTGCCAACATTAAGCAAAAGACATGAAAAGGGCACGCTCTCCATTTGCTACCCCCAGCTCTGAGGCTCTGTCACAACAGTGCCCTTCCCTGTGGCATTGTCATCACCAAAGCTGGAAGCATTGGAAAATTTCAACAATAAAGAAATACGCTGCTGGGGATGTAGCTCAGTGGCATAAGCGCTTGCCTGGCAAGCCTGAGGTCAATTCCCGGTTTAAAAAAAAAAAAGAAAGAAAGAAAAGAAAAGAAATATGTTAAAGCTGCCTGTAATAGCCGCTACTCAGGAGGCTGAGGCAGGAGGATCACATGTTCAAGGCTGGCCATGAGACAAGACCTTGTCTCAAAATAAAGTATGGAAAGGGGACTGGGGATTTAGCTCAGCGGCACAGCGCCTGCCTGGCAAGCGCAAGGTTGTGAGTTTGATTCCCGTTACCAGAAGGAAAAAAAAAGAGGAAGAGAAATAAAGGGAAAAAAGGTAAGTTGAGCAGGATGTGAAGAAATTGAGACCCTTACACACTGCTTGGGAGAAGTGTAAAATGGTGTAGTCGTTTTGGAAACTAGCCGGCAGTCCCTTGAAAGGCTACACATAGAATGACCATGTGACCTTGCCTCCCACTCGCACATGGAGACACCCAAAAGAAGTGAAGGTGTCCGAAACAAGCTGTGGACGGGTCTCAGAGTAGCATGATTCATGACACCCGCCGCGGAGACAGTGCACGTGTTCCAGAGCCGAGAACTGGAGAAATGGATATGGCAGGCCTGAGCAATGGAACATTACTTGGACATAAAAAGCAATAAAGCTGGGTGTGGTGGCACATGCCTGTAATCCCAGCACTCAATAGGCTGAGGCAGGAGGATCATTGCCAAGTTCCAGATCTGCCTGGGCTACAAAGTAAGCTCAAGGCCAGCCTAAACTGCATAGCGAGACTCTATCTCAAAAACACAAAAATAAATAAATTAATATAATGATAATAATAATAATAAAAATAAAGGGTTGGGAATGCAGCTCAGTGTGAAGGCCTTGGGTTCAATCCCCAGGACTAGAAAAACAAGATCCAAACCAAATCAAAACAAACAAGACCACGAGACACTGAAGGCAGAACACAAATGGCTCGGCCGAGGAGTGACATATCTCCAGGAGAAACAAGGATTTTGAGAACACAGGGATCCGCCTCCTCGTCCACCTCTTTGGACTCAGCCTCCACCTCTGGGCGCCCGGTCTCCCCGCCCACTCCGGCCCCTTCCCGGCACCGCCTCGGGGCGCGGTGACGTCACGTCCGGCACCAACCGGAAGTCCTCCGCGGCTCCCGGAAGCGCTCAAGCCTGGGCGATGGCAGACTTGGACGCCTCGCTCCGGGGCGTACCCGAGGCCGCGGCGCCCCCACGGTAGAGCGGACCTGGGTCCCGAGGTGAAAAGCGTAGGGTGAACTGCGTCTCAGGAGGGAGCCTAGGACCCCTGGCCTCTCCCCTGCCTTGGCCGGGCTGCCCCCGAGCCCGGTCCGCCCGGTGCCTCGGGCTCCCGCAGGCGAGGCAGGTGGTGGCCCCGGCCGGAGGGCCCCTGACGTCGCCTGCTCTTCCCCGCTGCAGGAATGGAAGGGTCCAAGGCGTGCAGCAGCACCATGCAGGTGAGCTTCGTGTGCCAGCGCTGCAGCCAGCCCCTGAAACTGGACACCAGCTTCAAGATCTTGGACCGCGTCACCATCCAGGAGCTCACAGGTCAGCGACCCCCGTGAAAGGGCATGGTCAGCACGTGGTCCGCTCCCCGCCCCGGGCACAGGAAAGAGCTCTGACAGGGTGTGCCCTCTGGAGCAGGAAGGTTGGTGTTTCCCGGCCCCCGCCCCAGGGAAAAGGCGCGTGTGCGAGAAGGAGCCGCGGTGGCGCGGCCTCGCGTCCCGACTGCGCGACAGGCATTACTTCCCTCGGCCCCCCCAGCGCCCCCTGTGGCGAGCCCTTCTCACGGCAGCGCGGGGACCCGGACTCAGGCAGGTGAGGGGCTCCCAGAGATCCCGCGCTACTCCGTGGAAGAGTCGTCTCAGAAGCCCAGCAAGTGAGATGACGTCTCGGACAGACGGCGGAATTGTCCTTTGAAATTAGCTGATGGGCCTGGAGTCCGCTTCTTACTTGAAAATCTAAACTTGCCTCATAAGAGAGTTGTAAAGATTATTTCCAGTTTTTGGAGGGTCGGTTGTTCGTTTGGTTTTGACACTAGATCTCGCTAAGCAGTTCAGGCTGCCTTGAACTCACTGTGTAGTCCAGGTTGGCCTTGAACTCACAGTGATCCTCCTGCCTCGGTGTCCGGAGTGCTGGGATGACAGCAGTGCATCACTATGCCTGGCTTTGTTTTGTTTTTTGAGACAGAGCTCAGTATGTAGTTAGCCCAGGCTGGCCTGGAACTGACTGTAACCCAGGTTAGCTGCAAAGTCTCCGTGATTCCTCCTGGCTGCTAGGGTTACAAACATGCACCACCGTGCCTGGCATCTCCTCGTAATTACGGTTTTCACTCTTTTCTCTCTAAGTTGTTGTACTGTGCGGTACGATGTGATATTTCAGTACGTATACACACTGTGCAGTGTCCAAATCAGGCTGGGTGTTTGTGTCTCTGCTGACAGTTCTCACTTCTTAGTGATGAGAGCACTGACATCTTTCCCCCAGCGCTTTGGAGATGCGCAGCGTGTCCCCGGTACCAGCAGTCACTGTTCTGTGCAGTAGAACACAGAACCGGTGTTTCCCCTTTGAGCAGAACTTGGCCTCTGCCCCCGAGCTCCCCGCCTGTCCACTCTGCACTCCCAGCCCTCAGCCCGGTCACACCACTGTGCTCCCAGTGCCTGTGAGGGCCAGCCTTAGGCTCCACCTGTGAGTGAGCGCAGCGTCATGTCCCCTAGTTTCACCCGCATATCGCACGTGACAGCATTTTTCATCTTTTTTTTTCCTTTTTTGTTAAATAGGATTTCATTGTGTATATATTGTGCACTTTTTACAAATGGGTACGCTCACATAATCCTTTTTTTTTTTTTTTTGCCTTTTTTGAGACAGGGTCTCACTATGCAGTTCAGGCTAGCCTTGAGCTCATCGTGTAGCCCAGGCTGGCCTCAAACTCGCAACAATCTGCCTCAGCCTCCTGAGTGTTGGGATTACAGGCGTGCGCCACCATGCCCGGCTTGGGCTCTTTTTAAAGTAATCATTATATCCTTTTTATTTTTTGTCTTTTTGAGACAGGGTCTTGCTATGCAGTTCAGGCTGGCCTTGAGCTCATTTTGTAGCCCAGGCTGGTCTCAAACTCAAAACAATCCTCCTGCCTCAGCCTCTGAGTGCTGGGATTATAGGTGTGCGCCACCACCCTAGGCATGATATCCATTATTCATGCCTTTAAATTTTTAACAGTCTCTGCTGGGTGCAGTGACACAGGCCTTTAATCCCAGCACCCTGGGAGGCTGAGGCAGGACGATCAAAAGTTCAAGCCCCAAATGGGCAACTTAGTGAGATGCTGTCTGAAAATAAAAGGCTTAGATTTGTGTCTGGCACGTGTGAGACCCTGGATTCAATCCACGGTACTACAGAAAATGAAACAACTTCAGCATTTCCTTAACTTGCCTTAATGGGGAAAAGAGAAAAGACAATAGATTCTTTGTGTAAGTGTTAATTTAAAAAAAGAGTAGGAGTGTTAATGAGGATGTTCCAGATTCTCTTCCTATAGTTTAGTAAAGTTCTCCTGCTTATATAAAACTGTTCCTTGCCGGGTTTGGTGTTGCACACCTGTAATCCCAGCACTCGGGAGGCTGAGGCAGGAGGATTGCTGTGAGTTCGAGGCCAGCCTGGGCTACATAGTGAGACCCTGTCTCAACAAAAGAAAGAGAAAGGAAAAAAGACTGTTTCTCGCTCAGTATTTTCCTTGCTTCTAGCTCCATTACTTACCACAGCCCAGGCGAAGCCAGGAGAGCCCCAGGAGGAGGAGCCAAACCCAGGGGAGGTAATAAAGTGGGGCCTGTGGTTCTCCTTGTACAGCTCATGTGCTGTGTGGGAGGCTGGGTGTGTGACTGTAAGAGTGCAGGCTGTGAGCACAAGTCACTAATGTGGAAGGGACCCCAGGAAGCTGCCCTTGGAAGCAGGGGTGTGGCTGGGCCTGGAACACCTGCAGGGGAGCCCTGCGCAGGGGCCGCTTCCTGTGGGGTAGCGCTTAGCACACACCTGAGACTTGTCCTGCCCAGGTGACAGGAAGTGGCTGGGGATTTCTGCAGATGGCTAGAGAAGGCCCTCGAGCAGAGGCCAGGAGCCTGGCCACCGAAGTCTGTGACTCACGTATGAATCCTGTCGCGGGGTTGAAAGTGGAACTGTCCACGCTGCGGCGTGGCAAGCCTTCCTGCAGTCTGACCTGGCTGTTTCCTTGTACCGTGGTGGGGCAGTCTCTCCCCTGCCCCAGCTGCTACACGTTCAGAAATGTAAATCTCATCATAAATGCAGTAAACATAGCTAGGAAGTGCTGATCCCCACCAGAACCAATCAGACAGGACTTCCAGTTCCTCTGTACCAAGGACCCTTCACAGCCCCGAAAACCCCGTCTCCTCCGTCTCTGTTCCCCAGGGCGGGTGATGTTGACGCAGGGAAGAGCCAGTGGCTGTGTGGCTGCGCGGAGCGCTAACACTCTGCTCTCTTTCCCAGGAGCCATTTGTTGAAACGCGCCAGGACGGCGTCTCCCGCAGGTTCATCCTCCCAGCCAGGTGCCTGCTCTGCCCAGTCCGGTTCCCTGCCACAGGCCAGCAGGGTCTCAGCCCGGAGTCTGAGACCTGAGCCAGGGGGTGCTGACGAGTTGTCACCCTGCCTGGGGCTCTCAGAGGGAAGACGCATGCCTTATGCCCGGCCCTCCGCCCCGCGTTGGGTTTCCACATAGCTGGTCGCACAGGGGACGGGTGGTAGGCTGATGGGGGCTTGAGGGATGTGGCGGGAGGCTGGCTGACCAAAGAGATGGCATCTGAGCGGCTTCGAGGAGGCAGACGCTGCCAGCTGCCCAGGCCCCTAGTTGTCACTGGTGCTGCAGAGACAGCTGGTGGCGAGGACTGCGAAACTTTCTATGGGGTCTTCCCTGACGCTCTTCCCTTTCTGCTGTACACACAGCGGTTCCACGCCCTCCGTAGTCTGCCTGGGCCTTCCTCGGGCTGAGTGCCCTGTGGAGCCCAGCAAAGCCTTCCCCGGGGGAGAGGCACCCTTGGGAGGCGGCCGGGCCGGGCCTTCGAGCCCCTCAACCAGGGGCTGGTGGTGTCTGCAGGATGATGTCCACAGAGAGTGCCAACAGCTTCACGCTCATCGGGGAGGCGTCGGACGGTGGCACCATGGAGAACCTCAGCCGCAGGCTGAAGGCAAGTGGGCCTGGGCCGCATCCAGCAGCAATGCCCGCTAGAGTGGGGTGGCCCGCCCTGACCTTCCCATACTTCCAGGTCACCGGGGACCTTTTTGACATCATGTCAGGCCAGACAGATGTGGATCACCCACTGTGTGAGGAGTGCACGGATACGCTCCTGGACCAGCTGGACACGCAGCTCAACGTCACTGAGAGCGAGTGTCAGAACTACAAGTGAGTGCTTCGGGCAGGGCCTCACCTGCTCCCGGCTTCCCTGTCACGTGCGCCATCCGTCCCTGTCCCCGGCAGGCGCTGTCTGGAGATCCTGGAACAGATGACCGAGGACGACAGTGAGCAGTTACAGCGGGAGCTGGAGGAGCTGGCCCTGGAGGAGGGGCGGCTGATCCAGGAGCTGGAGGAGGTGGAAAAGAACCGCAAGGCGGTGGCAGAGAACCTGGAGACGGTGCAGGCCGAGGCCGAGCAGCTGGACCAGGAGGAAGCCCAGTGAGTGCCCCGGCCCCTGTGTCCCCACCCTCCCCTGTGGCTGAGTGCGGGCGGCTCCCGCGAGGCTGTCCCGTGCGTGTCTGTGTGGTAGGCAGCTGAGCCAGGCAGTGTGCACTCTGGATCCTGCGTCATTTTTCCAGATCTTTTTTCTGGGGGTTCGTGGTGGGTCAGGGATGAAAGGTCAGTGTGATCCTGTGGAAAGGGGGTGCTGGTTAAAGAGAGGGTGCTGGCCGAGGCTGCAGTCTTGGCTCCTTCCAGAGGGAACGGCTTGTTGGGGTGAGCCAGCCTGTGTTTGTACCAGCTGAGCTCAAATCCCGTGATGCTCTTGGCCTGAGAGAGCCTCATCTTTCGAAGAGACCCAGTGTCCACACAAGGAGCGGGGACAAAGTGGATTTTTTACCAAGTGGTGTGACCAGCGCACTGGTACTGGTGCGTAAAGGATGATAGCATAGGGAAGCGAGGCTGAGGAGGGTCATTTCCGGCTGGTTTGTGGAAGAAGCCACTCAGCTCACTTCTGAAAAGGAGCAGAAGTACAGGAGGTTTCTGTCCTAGTTGAGAGGGGTCCTTTGCTCCTGCACCTTCTCTGCATCTGGGCAGCTGGAACCTGAGACAGTTTTGTGCCTCCCATGCAAAACAGCGAAGGCACACGTGCGCGCTGACCGGGTCTGTGCAGATATAGAAAGTGCTGGACCCAGAGGGCGGTGAGGTCAGAGAAACTGGCCTCCAACACGGCCTCCGCGGGGCTGGCTGTCACAGGTACCAGCGGGAGTACAGCGAATTCAAACGGCAGCAGCTGGAACTGGACGATGAGCTCAAGAGCGTGGAGAACCAGATGCGCTACGCCCAGATGCAGCTGGACAAGTTGAAGAAGACCAACGTCTTCAACGCCACCTTCCACATCTGGTAAGGAGGGGGGCGAGGCGCAGTGCAGCAGGGACACTGCAGACCTGGGCCCTCGCCGCGGACTTCTGAGCCGGGGGCCCCACCTCCCCAAAAGCAGGATGACAGGTCACCTTCACCCCAGCCGGGTGCCTGCCCGTGCCTGGACTCACAGGCTGCACGCGAGCCTGTATCCTGTGACGTTTTCTCTGTCCGGCTGGCCAGCACGTGTCGCAGTGTTACTTGCGTCCGATGGCTGTACTTCCCCGAGCGGGGCTGGGGAAGGGCGTCAAGACCAAAGCGGGAGCCGCGCTGAGTTTGCAGAAGGGGACACGTGCACAGCCCTGAGAGCCAGCAGGGTTTTTGTCACGTGTGTTTGTGTGTTGGGATCAAACCCAGGCCCTTGTGGATGCAAGGCAGGAGCTCTGCCACTGAGCCCTGTCCCGAGCCCGAGCACACAGGTTTTGAGGGGGCGGGGCTGAGTGTTCGAGGACACCTTACTTTCCACTTCAACATCTGAGCGGAAGGGACAGGGTGCCTCAGGCTTCGGGCGCGTAGGGGACATTGCACCTGGAGCTCGGGCAGGGGGATGCACACCGGGTGCAGAGCGGGGCTGGCTCTGGTGTCGGGAACCCGCTGCCTGCCCCACAGGCACAGCGGCCAGTTTGGCACCATCAACAACTTCAGGCTGGGCCGCCTGCCCAGCGTCCCCGTGGAGTGGAACGAGATCAATGCTGCCTGGGGCCAGACTGTGCTGCTGCTGCACGCCCTGGCCAGCAAGATGGGCCTGAAGTTTCAGAGGTGAGGGAAGCAGTCTCCCGGAGGTGCGGTGCAGCCCTTGGAGGTCCTTGTGGGCGGTGGCCCCTTTCTGTCTGAGTCTGGTTTTCCATCTGTCAAGGTTCTTCCCACTGACAGGGTGATTGGTGAGCCCAGCCTTACAAAACCTCAGTGTTCCTCAAGAGAGTTTCAGTTATTTTTTAAATCTGACCCACTGGGAGGCTGAGGCAGGAGGATCGCTGTGAGTTCAAGACCAGCCTGAACTGAACAGTGAAACCCTGTCTGAAAAAGACAAAAAAAAAAATCTGACCCCCAAACACATATTAGTCTATGATGTATTAGTCTAAAGGCCCCTGGACATTTATATAATAAATGCAGTTTTTTAATAAACAAAGTCTTTTTTTGTTTGATAGTTTGTTTTTTGAGATGAAGTCTTGCTAGGTGGTCTAGGCTAGCCTTGAACTCATGTAACCTGGGATAACCTCAAACCCGAGACCCTCCTGCTTCATCATCCCTGATGCTGGGCTCACAGGCGTGTGCTACCACACTCGGCAACGAAGTCTTTTCACTGTGAATATTATGGGGAGGTGGGAGAGAAGTGCGTGGATAGGAAGCAGATTGAAAAGCCAGCAGTCATTTTAGGCAGAGTCGTGAATCCATCTCTGTCTTCCCCTCACTTTAGGTATCGGCTTGTTCCCTATGGAAACCATTCATACCTGGAGTCGCTGGCAGACAAGTCCAAGGTACAGGGTTCTTAGTCCTCCTAACAAAGTGATTGTGTTTTAGGCCTGGGCTGTAGCTCACTGGTGAGCACAAGCCTGGCATTCACAAAGCATTGGCTTCCGTCCCTGGTACTTAAGAAAAAAAAAAAGGGTTTGCCTTTTTTGGGGAGGGGTACCAGGAATCAAACTCAGGACCTTGCACTTGTCAGGCAGGCAGTTGTGCCGCGGAGCTACATCCCCAGCCCAGGTTCGCCTGGATGTTGGCATCAGGAGCCTTCTCAGACTGAAGGGGCAGTGCATGTGCAGGCATAGTTCTGTGTGGAGGAAGTCAGGCTTTCTAGCCCATCGAGAAGGGCAGGGCAGATCAGACCGTGTGGGCCAGGCCGAGGAGGACCCTGTGGGGTGGGCCTGGCGCATCCCCTGTTGGGAGACACCGCCAGAGTGCTGGATTTGCTCAAGGTTGTTGCCGCTGTACAAGGCTGTGCCACGCTCATTTCCAGTGGACACGGATGGAGGATGGCCGGAGAGGCCGACAGGACTGGGGACCCCCTTTCCGGGCACGGTGGCCACAGCCATTCTCTCACTTGGACAGGAGCTGCCGCTGTACTGTTCTGGAGGGCTGCGGTTTTTCTGGGACAACAAGTTTGACCACGCCATGGTAGCTTTCTTGGACTGTGTGCAGCAGTTCAAAGAAGAGGTGGAGAAGGGCGAGACGCGGTTCTGTCTTCCTTACAGGTCAGTAGCCCCAGACTGAGGAAACCTCGGGGGGACCAGATGGAGTGGTGTGGAAGGGCTGTGAGAATGTGGGCAGGCCGTGTCCGTGGTGGGAGGCAGAAGCCAGTGCAGACCCCCACGCCGCCAGGCGGGTGGCAGAGGCTGGCCCGGCACTGAAGGCAGGCGGTGTGCGGCTACCAGGTCCTGGAGTCGCAGGTGGTTCTGGGACTTTTCTCGGCACCAAGCTCAAGCTGCTGTCCAGTGTGAGGCAGGCTTTCCCCCGCAGCCTCTGGAAATGTACAGGAATGCTGCCCGGGAGTCCGGGATGGGTGGAAACACTAGCCCGAGACAGGAAGGTTGAGCTGGGCCTGCCACCTGACACACAGGCCTCCTTCCTTGCGTGAGCTGTGGAAGCCCAGGAACACAGAGCCAAGTGCTGTGACCCTCACTCACCCCTGTGGGCTTCTCGCCGCTCGGGTGTGTGTCCCGCCCCTGCACCGCAGCGGCAGTGAGGCTCTGTGACAGACTTCTTGATGTTGGACTTTCAAGCAAATCCAAAATACAACATAGTTCCCCACCAAGAACTCCGTTAGATAAGGTGACCTGCACGGTGCCGTGATCTGTCCCTGCCCTGCCCGCTGGCCGCGCCACGCTGGCTCGGGTCTCAGTTACAGAGCTCTTCTGTGCCGCCCGCAGGATGGACGTGGAGAAAGGCAAGATCGAGGACACCGGCGGCAGCGGGGGCTCCTACTCCATCAAAACCCAGTTCAACTCCGAGGAACAGTGGACAAAAGCACTCAAGTTCATGCTGACCAACCTGAAGTGGGGTCTGGCCTGGGTTTCCTCGCAATTTTATAACAAATGACTTCCTTTTTTCCTTAGGGGGATGATCGCCCTAAAGGCTTTAAATTTTGTTCTGTTTGAAGAAAAAGTTTTAAACTAAATTTGGGTGATATTAAACAGCACGCTTACAACACCAAAAGAGACAAAATCCCCAAAAGCCGCTTTATTTTAGGGTAACATGTGGCAAGTGGTTCCCGGAACTGCAGCCGCCGCCCCGGCCTGGCTTTGACTCCTGCCCCTGCCTTCCTTTCTTTGTCTCCCTGAAAAACGACTCATTGCACTTTCTTGTTTTAACCGAGTTGAACCAAAGCTGATGTGCTTTCACTGGATTTTCTCTCTCAACCTCCTGCGCTTATATAAATACGGAGTAGAAACTCTGGTTTCTACTGGGACGCAGAGCTGTGCGAGCGCCGTTGGATGACAGCGAGAACGGCGTGCAGGCTGTGCCCGCGCTCTGCGTGCGATCACGTGATGCCCCCGCGGGAGCCTGAGACTGAGCCCGCTGCTCCCCTCCCTGGCTCCGGCTCCGACACTGACTGGGAGCCCTGCTCTCCCCGCAGCGGGCTGGGCCGGCCGTGCGGGCGTGGAGCTGGTGTGTTGGGGACGTTCCGTTCGGAGAGGTTGTATTTGTAATAAAAGGTTTGCTGTAGTGTGGTAGCTGGACGGAGGGCCCCCGTGTACACTGTGTTCTGGGAAAGCTGACTTCCCGGCAAGTGTGTGGCAACCCTAGTGAAGCGCGAAGGTGGTTTGGTTTCAGTTTTTAAAAAACTAGTGGGGAAAAACCCAACATCCGAGTGAAAACAGCCCTGCAGGAAAAACGTATGATGTCGCTTTCAGACAGAACAGGGACCTTACACCAAAGGAGACACAGGGGACCTCTATGACAGTCACCCAGAGTCTTCTCTCTCTGTCTGATGGTCCCCATTAATGAAATTAAAGGAAAGCCAGGAATCGCTTGTTAGAAACGAACCAACATTACGGATCTACCTCGGCCTGGCTTTTTGACAGTCTCGGTCTGAGGAGACAGAAAGGACACACTTGCCCCCCTCCCCCCTCCCCTGGTGCATGCAGAACGAGCCTGAACTTGGCAACCATCAGCTCCCAGAGGCTGGGAGCATGAACGTCAGCGTGGGAGGCTGTTGGCCTCGGCGCCTTCTGCCCGCCTTGGCGGGAGTGGGAGTGGGAGCCTGAGCGGTGGCGCTCGCTCCCAGGCAGCCTGCACGGGGGAAGCAGGCTGCTGCCGCCCAGGGGTGGTGGCTCCGACGCCGTGGATCAGGACTGCGTAGGAGAACTCGGCGATGCTCCCCGAGGCGATGCCGGTGATGCTGTGCAGATGCCCCATGACCTGCAGAGCAGACCGGCCTCCTGTTACCTGGTGGCCTGGGCACGTGTGGGTGTACACACGCATGCGCACTGCTTGGGATGCTGTCTGCGGCCAGATGAGAACTTCACTTCCCTCCACCGACGGGCAATTCAGTCAGACCCTGGTGCTACCTGGAGGCCGCACCACGACAGGGCACCTTTGCCCACTGTCAGCATGGTGTTGCGCTCGCTCGGCAGGTCCTGCCCTGGAGACATTTCCGGGGAGCGCAGGCCGGGTGCTGGGCCTTGACATTTTCTTTTGGGAGATTGCTCTCGCTGAATGTTCGCAAGCCGTGGGTCATAGCCATAGGGAGAGCTGAACAAGCTCAACGCAGGCTCTCATTTCCCATGAGGAAAACGAGCACACGCTTTGGTCCTGCCAGTTGCCCCACCCTGGGACCCACTCTCTGCCTGCTGTACCATCCCAAGCCTGGGGCGTGGCGCAGTGACCTCTAGGTGTCCTGCTCTCCGAGGGCCGATGGACCCGCGCCTGCTCCGGTGCCTACCTCGCTCCAGCATGAGTGGTTCTGGATGAAAGCACTGGCCGCAATGATCCCCGCTGCCAGCAGCATGAAGTCCTCCTCCACGGAGCTGAACTTCTCCCTGAGGGATTAAAGCCCTGTTCACGTCGGAGCTGGAAGGAAACACGGCCTCCCATGTCCCGAGGCCCTGGGACCTCAGCTGGGACCTCTTATGTTGGATGTGTAGACTGAGAGTGGTCAAGCACCGGCTCCTGACCTGCGCCCATGTTGACGGCTCAGCTGGAGCCGAACGCGAGCCTCTGGCCAAGTGGCTGACAGCTTCTGTTGCCCATCTGTCCCCGAACAAATCAGCAGTGGGGCTTTTGACAGCTGACTTACAGTAATCAAACACTTCTATCCAACTTGCAATCCTGTGACTGTTTTTTTCTCCTAAGTGACTAAGCAGTTCAGTGATCTCAAATTATGAACAGCTAGAAAGGAAAACCTAGGAAGGAAAGTGTGTTACTTTAACTTAAAGGTAAAAGTAAGAGCCTTCAGGGCCTTCCTGGTTGGGCTCAGCATGCGGGCAGCTGTGAAAACCGGGCCCAGCCCACCCTGCGTGCTGCCCCGCCTCCTTGCCTCCGGGAGAGCCCGTACCCCTGCAGCTGGCTGGGCGTGGTGTTCCCCACAGCAGACCTCAGCAGGCTCTTGTACACAGGTTCATGCAGGAGGTAGACCAGGTCGAGGAGGGTCAGGCAGGTAGCGTGCAGCTGTGTGGCTGGGACCACACAGCCGTTGTACCCTGGATGGGATGAAACGGGCACGGTGGGGCACTGAGCAGCTGTTCTCTGCCCACCAGCACCGGGTACGACAAGACACTGTTCAGCTACTAGTTGCTAAGTTCCATGAGCAGGTCAACTTTAAAAGACAAAAGAACAGGAAAGAAGCCTCCACCTGCAGCATATGTGCCGTGGGGGGGGGTCCTCTTTTTCCTTTTTTGCCTTTTTTTTTTTTTTTTTTTTTTTGTCTTTTTGGAGACAGGGTTCCACTGTGCAGTTCTGGCTGACCTTAAACTCACTTTGTAGCACAGGCTGGCCTCAATCTCAAAGCAATCCTCCTGCCTCAGCCTCCTGAGTGCTGGGATCACAGGCATATTCCACCATGCCTGGCTGTTTCTCTTATCTTATTCCTGTCCATAAAATTTACTCTGACCCTGTAATAAGAGAAGTGTGTGTGGAGCCCAGGTGGAAACTAACTGCTAAGCCTCTGACAGTGCTGGAGGGGACACCTTGGTCACCCAGGGGCACCACAGTCTTCCTGCTCTTCCTCGCTGGCAGATCCTTCCCGCTGTTCCCAAAGCTCTGGGCACATTTCTGTTGCCCTCCATGAAAGTCTCCGACCCACATTTCCCAACTCAATGTACCTAAAACTTCCAGGAGCATCTCCACGTACTCCAGGGGGGTAGAGAGGTTGATCTGGAAGTCCAGGGACTTCAAGATGTCCAGCTCCGACTCCAGCAGATCCTCCTTAGTGTACGGATACCCCAGGGCCTGGAGGAAGTGCAAGGCCATGAGGTTGTTGATGATCTGAGCAAAGGAAAACCAGGGGGGTCAGATACAGGCTGCACACACTGCGCCACCGCAGAGCTCCGCAGGGCCTGCAGCTCGCCCTGCTCCCTCCCCCCCACCCCCCTCCCCGCCCCTTCTTTCCCTGCCTCCCTAACTGTCCCCTGGTTGCTTAGAGCCTCAGATCGTCTGCTTTCTCTGGGCACACGCCTGCAGCGGGGCACTCCCAGCCGTCTGGACTGAGCCCTGCTGGCTGTGTCTTTCCCACTCGGTGAAGAATCCCTCAGGCGCAGGTCAGTGTTTCCAGGCTGCAGCCCCGTGCCGAGCGCCGCCACAGAGACCAGCGTCCGCGGCACACGTGACCCTTCACTGCACAGGCGAGGGTGCGCCACACGGTGCCCTCCTCAGTGCGACCGCCCGCCCCTACTGCTGACGGGCTGGCAGTTTGGGCACCTCGGTAAACTGTCCTTGAGGCTGAGAGAAGGACGGCTGACCTATGTGAACAGTGGCATCTGTCCAGCAGTTCGACTTTGGGAACAGGACTTGGGGCTATTGAATGACCGCCTCTGTGTGCTTAGGGGGTGCGCTGGGGAGCGTAATTACTCTCTGGAATTTCCACCTGAGCGCCGTCACCTGGCCTAGGCGTGGGCCTCCCAAGCCACCTCCCGTGAGCTGGTTTCTCGCTAACAGGTGCCCACAAGCAGCCCCCTGCTTACTTTGTAGTGGAAGGAAAGCTTGCTGGCTAGCTGGACACACGACACCAGGCGGAGGACAAACTTGCTGCAGAGCTGCTCCATCCGAGCCCTCCAGTTGCGAGCCTCTGTCCGCTCGCTGTCCCCCACCTGGGCCTCGGCCTGCGCGCAGATGTCCTCCGCCTGCTTGACCATAAACCTGCGAGGAGGGGAGGGGCACGTGACCACCCGCACCTGCAAATAAAGGGAGCCTGTGCTTCCACCTGCTCCACTGCACTCTCCCGGGTATCAGATGCTGGCTGGGACATTTACATTCACAAATAAAGGAGGGTGAGCCGCCAGCTCTCCTGGGGAGGGAGGGCAAGCGTCCGCTCTGGTTAATTCGGGAGCGTTAGCCTCTCCTGGCTCGCAAGGGCTCTGCTCAGGGTTTACCTTTCTAAGATTTCTACAGCCTGGTAGCTCACGGATTTCTCCAGACACCATTGTTCAGACAGCAGAAAAATGAACTCTGCCAAACAGAAAAGAAGAGGCTCGTTCACGAGGGCAACCAACACCACTGCACGCTCTGGGTCCACACAAAAGCCCCACGGGGCTGGGAGTGGGGGGTCAGGAGGTGAGAAAGCTGAGCCCGGTGACCAGCGTGGAGCTCAGCTGCCTTTGCAGCCAGCAGCGATCAGAGGCAGGACAGGCACACGATGCCCCTCGGTGACCTGCGAGCCGCCTGTGGGGAGCCCTGATGAAAGGCTTGGCAGGCCGCACACAAACACCAGCTGGCCTCTACACAGCACCAGGAAGCCAGCTTCAGGAGGGCTCGGGGACTCTGTCCTCAGCGCAGCGTTGGGAGGGCCAGGAAGGCGCCTCCTGTAGCTCCAGGGCCTTGTGACCCTGTTTGTTTAGTTGCCACCCTCTGGAGGTGCCCACAGCTAGATGTCGCCTCTCCCCACAGGCAGGCGGGCTGGGCAGTCCAGGGCGGCTGGGCCTCGCCCCCAGCAGGTGAGTGGCAAGTGAGCTGTTTTGTTCTACTGGGAGTGAGCTGTTCTGAAGACACAGGCCCTGAACCGGGGAAGGGCAGGGTACTTGGCACAGTTCCTGCTCCCTGTTCCTCTTTGAAAGAACAGCCCCAGATAGAATTCTACTTAGCATGCAGTATCTATCACAAGGGGGTGGACACGGAGCAGCTGTCAGCCTTCTATGGAGACAGCCTGCAGAGCAGAGAACTTTTAGCATGAAGCAGTGCAGTCTCAGGCTGAGTGGCCTTATCGGAAATGCTTGAGCATGAGTGTTTCAAATTTGGGTTTCTTTTGTTTTGTTTTTCTGTATATTTTAACATCTGCATTTTGGCAGGCATGGTGGCGCATGCCTGTAGTCCCACCACTCAAGAGGCTGAGGCCAGAGGATTGCTGTGAGTTCCAGGCCAGGCCAGGCTGCAAAGTGAATTTGAGGCCAGCCTGAACTGCATAGCGAGGCCTTGTCTTAAAAAGAAAGAAAAGAAAAGAATATTTGGATTTCTAATCTGAAATCTGAAATGGTCCAAAACTCAACATCATGTTGACACTCAAAGAATTAGAGAATTTTGGATTAAAGATGCTCACATTTGTACATATATAATAAAATTGTCATGTTTTCAAATGAAATTTGACTTTCTTAGAGGAAAAGCTATTTTAAAAAATCAAACTAAAAAAAAAATAAAAATCAAGCTAGCAGCTGGGCATGGTAGTACAGGCCTGTCATCTCAGCACTCTGGGAGGCTGAGGCAGGAGGATTGCAAGTTTGAGCCTAGCTTTGTGACTTAGCAACTTAGCAAGACTCTGTCAAATAAATAACAAACAGGGCCAGAGATGTAGCTCAGTGTAAGGACCCCAGATTCAATCCTAAGTACTGAAAAGAAAAAACACAGCTCAAGCTATCACAAGATAGTTTCACAATCTACCTGACACAAAGTACACAGATGCATGTACAAAGCCTTATCTAACACAGACCACAGCCTGCTGGTAGAGTCCCACCCAAGAGACAATTAGCAAAGCAATTCAGCAAAATGTCCTAGGACACATAACTATGTGTTACTAGCTAAACCTTTTATTGTTGGACTTTAGGCTTTCTTAGTTTTGTTCTTGCTCTATCTCTTTCTCCAGCTGTTTGATTTTGTTTTGCTTTTCACCGGAATTCTGTGGGAACTCTTTATTCTCCAGGAACACTGAGCACGGTCTGGGGGGTGGGTAGGAGTTATACTTCATCCTTTCTGCTGGCACCTCTTCTCCTCCCCAACACTCGGACCTACTACTAAGATAACACCTCCCTTCCAGAACTAGGACTCCATCTTCTCTTTCCCATTGTGGTGCTGGGGATTGAACCAAGGGCCTTGTGCATGCAAGGCAAGAGCTCTACCACTGAGCCACATCCCCAGCCCTCCCACTGCTTTTGATTTTCTGGATTTCTTTCTTTTTCTTTTTTTTTGGGGGGGGGACAGGGTCTCACTATATCTGGACATGAACTCACTCTGTAGTCTAGGTTGGCCTTAAACTTACCGTGATCCTCCTGCCTCAGCCTCCCAAGTGCTGGGTTTATACCCATGCACCACCATTCCTGGTTTGCTGTCAATTTTCTTGAAAGCCTGGCTGACATACCTGCTGCTTCCACTTCCTCATCCACTCGGTGATAATTTTCTGTAATCTGGCTTCCACCTTTCCCAGATTGCTAAAATGACCACCTCAAAGGCCAGCAGTGGGCCCCACTCTGAGCTATCATCGCCCATCAGGCCTCACTCCTGCAGTTCTCCTGCCACCAGGACACTGCCAGGACCGCTCTGACACCCTGCAAACCTTCCTGGGGCTAACTCTACCTCGCCGCCTGCTCATCCGACTCCTCTCAAGTCTGCCCGCTCCGGCTCCCCCAGGCACCGTCCTTGGCGGGCTCCTCTTTCCCCTCTAGGAGCTCACTTTGTGCCAGGGCTGCAAAAAGAACGTTAGGGAGATAACTCACAAACTTCTCTTCCTAGTGCTGACCACTTTTTAAACAACCTCCCAGCAATCTTCCTCTAGTCTTCAAGCGCCCGGACCTCAGCAAGTCCAAAACCAAAGCAATTGTTTTCTCGAACAGAAGTTACATTTCCTCCTCTTTCTTTTGCTAGTGTGGTCATCTTGGTTGTTTTGGATTTTGGGCGGTACCAGGGATTGAACCCAGAGCTTCACTTATGCTAGGCAAGTGCTCCAGCACTGAGCTACAGGCCTTCTTGTTTATTTACTTTTCAAACCAGACTGTGCTAAGTTGCCTGGGGTGGATCTGAACTTGCAGTCCTCCTGCCTTAGGTTCCCAAGTAGCCGGGGTCACAGGTGTGCACCACCACACCAGCTGCTTCTCTTAAAGGCATCATCAGAGCCCCAGTCTCTGGGGCCCGACCCTGGGCACTCATCTTTGCCTTCTTGGCTTCTTAGATTCACCCAAAACAGAACATAGATTCCTTTTCTTTTTTGTTTTTTCTTTTTGTCTTTTTGAGACAGGGTCTCACTATGCAGTTCAGGCTGGTCTTGAGCTCACTTTGTAGCTCAGTCTGGTCTCGAACTCACAAGGATCCTCCTGCCTCAGCATCCCAAGTGCTGGGATTATAGGCATGCACCACCAGGCCTGGCTCTTGATTCTTCCTCTGATGACATGATGTTGGTGCATCCTTCCTGTCCACAAAACATCGCCCATACAACGTGTTTCTTCCCTCTTGCGCCACTTATGTAACCCTACTAGCACCTCCTCATTTTCTGTTTGTCCTGTTATCACCCAGAGATTGCACTGGATCTCTATTTCATGTTTTTATCCCACCAACATGGATAAGAAGAACACGTGTTAAAGAACCAAGACTTGGATGCTGGTAGGGTGCATCTCTCATCCTAGCACTTGGGAGGCTGAGGCAGGAGGATGGCCTCGAGTTTGAGGCCAGCCTGGGGTACACTGCAAGGTCCTGTCAGAAAATATTAAATTAAAATTTAAAAAACTAAAAACGGAAGACAGAAACACATCTCTCCGAGTGACCCCAGCCCTTCGCCGCCGGAGCTGCACACCCACGAAGCGCGTCTCCCGGAAGCGGAAGTGGCCCTGGCGGCCCGCGGCCTCGCGCATAGCCCGCTCGTTCTGCTGGGCCAGATGCAGCAGCGCGTCCTCAATGGTCTCGGTGGCCACTGCTCCGAACTGGAAGTTACCCAGGGAGGCCGGCCTGGGCCTCGCAGCTCTGTCCATATTCAGCAGCCGCCTGGGGCCTTCCTAGCCCGCTGCGGCGTGTCTGTCTTCGCCTCAAGTCTAAGGGAAACCCACGAGCACCGCCGCGTCCAGCTCTCTCAGCATTTCCCGCTCCAACGGTCGCCGACCCCTTAGCCAATCAGAAGGCTCGGCCGATTCCCGTTGTCACGCCTTCCAAGAGCCGCGATTCTACGGGAAAGAGCAGGTGGACTACAACTCCCAAGGTCCCTTGCAGCGGCCAAGGACTACTAATCCCAGCGAGCTCCGCGCCTGCGTTGGGCGGAGCGGCAACATGGCGGCGCCCGGAGCTGGTGACCCTCTGGATGCGAAGCATGGGAAGGCTCCATTAGCTCAGCGTATCGACCCTGCTCGCGAGAAACTGACTCCCGCGCAGCTGCACCTCATGCAACAGGCACAGCTCGCCCAGTGGCAGAAGACGCTGCCACAGCGGCGGGCCCGGAACATCGTAACCGGCCTGGGCATCGGGGCGCTGGTGTTGGGCATTTGTATCCATCCCGTCTGTTCTCCCTACGGGGTCGGGGGCCGGGGAGCGGAAGCACGTAGAGGGTTGAGCCAAGCGTCTAGTGTTTGGGTAGAATGGGGCTAATGCCCAGTTCTTTGCTGTTTTCTTTTTCGAGGCTTTGTAGTCCAGTCTGGACTTGCATCAAGCCCTGTAGCCCTGGCGGATCTTGATCTCGAGATCCTCCTGCCTCAGCTTCTCGAGTGCTAAGATACAGGCGTGAGCCACCGCGTCTGACCTAAACTCTGTTATTCTTAAACTGCCCTTTTCATATGATACAGTAATAACGGAGTCGAGGTCGTGGTTCAGGAGCAGAGGGCGGGCCTCCGGAATACTGATTGGGAGAGTAACCGCAGTGGTGGGGAAAGGCAGTGTTCCTGATCCCGGTGGTTTCCTGAGCCCTTCTCCCCAGATGGCTACACCATCTACTCGATATCTCAGGAGCGCTTCCTCGATGAGCTGGAAGACGAGGCCAAGGCAGCCCGAGCCCGCGCTCTGGAAAGAGCATCAGTGCCCTGAACCTGGGCATTGCCTGTCTCCAGCCTGCCGGAGCCACGCGCAGCCTTTGGCGTGGCGGATGCTGCCCGACACCCTGTGGAAACCGAGGCCGCCTTATAGCATCCCTGGCTTAATAACTTTGGACCATGACTGGGCCCAAGAAACAAGAGGCTGAATTTGGCCACTGTTGGTGTGACATTGGTCGTTCCCCATGCACTGTGCCTAGGGATTGAGCCCGTTTGTTTCCTTGTTTGAGACGTATGCGACCTTGGCTTCCCCCGAACTTCCCGACTTTGTAGTTTTTCCCCCTTCACCTTCCAGGGCCCCAGTTGAGGTGGGGCTGGGGTGGCAGCTCTGTGCAGTGCTGGAGCCTAAAACGGGAAAGGTAGTCAGTTAAGAACAATAAACTTGAGTCATCTCCCCTGGAGCCAAGCTAGTCGGGTGGGTGGGTGGGTGGGGTGTTGGGAGGCATGGCATATTGCTTCGTGCTGGCAAGCTCCACGGGCAGTAGCTACAGTGGTGGCATTGCCCCAGGGAGCTGTAAATGTTTAACTAGAATTACTTTTTCCGTGAGATCTTTCCACCTGATGTAAGGCAGAGAGCACTGGGCCGTTTGAGACTGAACCAGGTCCTTGGGGAAGGAAGGTCATTCTTCTGTCCTCAAGAACACACTTAACCTAACCTTAACTGCTTTTCCCATCCCTTGTTCACTGGGTGAAGGATGAGAGATCAGTGGCCTGCCTTCTTTTCGACTTTCCCTGGTGCCCGCCCACACAGGCCTCGGGTGGGTCTGGAGGGGATCTTAATTGGCCCTTTGCATCACTGAGCCTGCACGTTCCTCATGAGCTGCTGGCGGGAAGCTGGACAGCTGGGCAGCCTCCACCTATGCCCCTGAGCTGTGGTGTTTTGTCCGAGACAGGATCTCACTATGTAGTCCAGGCTGGCCTTGAACATATGAAACTCCCTCCTCAGCCTCTGAAGGGCTGGATGACAGGCGTGGGCCCCCCCAGCAGCCCCCACGCCCCTTGTGAAAGGAGGATCCTTTCGTCCCGCTTCACTCAAGACGGCCCCAGTCCCCAAGGCAGGGCAGGAACAGAGCCACGGTCCTGATCTCGCAGTTTTTATTGGCCACTGCTAACTCGGATCGGCTGGGAGTTGAGCTCTCCAGAAGCATCTGGGCTTGGGTGAGCTGGCCGAGTGGTTGGCCTTTGGCTGGAGTGAGGGTGAAAGGAAGGTGGTGGGCTCCAGGCCTGGCACTGCCACACGGCAGCACAGTCCCCACGTGTGCAGCTGCACTCTCCGCGACGCCATCCCCCACGTGCGGGGTCCTCGCTGAGCTGAGCTGGTCAGAAAAGCATCTGGCTCTGAGAGCACAGGCACCACGGTGGGCCCTGGCAGGCGGAGACGCTGGCTTCTGTTCCGAATTCACTGCAGGGGAAAGGGGCGCTGAAGAAGCCTTCAGGTGGGCAGAAGCAAAGCCACTGGCTGCCCCCTCCCTCAGCTGCGCTCACCATCCTGCCAGCATCCCCGGCGAACGTCACCCCCTTGCTTGCCCGCTGCTCCTGGGAGCCTGTACTGCTGCCGCTCAGGGAGTTTCTGCGCACGATGCCTGCGAGTGGGACCGAGAGGGCCGGGTGAGAGAGGTGCTGGCCCGGGCAGGGCAGGGCAGGGCAGGCCCCCGGGCGGGAGGAAGCGTAGTAGTCCGTAGGGACATCAGGAGAGAGGACGAGGCTGGGCAGCTGCAGGCTCACCAGGGCCCAGGGGCTCAGAGCGCTGCAAGCTGTTGCGGCGGGACGCGGGGAAGCTGCCCTTGGACAGGCGGCGCTGGCGGCTGGACAGCATGGCGGCCGGGGCTACGATGCCTGGCGGGGGCTGCTTGCCCAGCCGACTGTACAAGTCCTCGATCTCCTTCTTCTGGAGCGTCTGGAGCGCCTCCACCTCAGACAGGTGCCTGAGGATGCGGGAAGCGTGAGCACCTGCCCGCCCCACGGCTACTGCCGTGCCTCATCCACCCCACTCACTTGTGCCGCAGGCTCTGCAGCTCCGCCCAGAACTCCTCGTCCTCCCCGCTGCTCTCCGAGTCCTCGCTGCTCAGGCACAGGCTGCTGCAAGAGTAGCTCATCCACACCGGGCTGGGGTGGCCCAGGCCTGGGGGGCTGTCCCCCGTGGGGGGCTCAGAGCCCACATCCCCGTCCTCCACAGCACTGCTCGGGCCCTCGGCAGCACAGCTGTCAGCCAGATACTCCCTGGGCTCCGGCCCACCGGCACAGGCACTGTCCTGGGAGTCTGAGCTTCCCAGGCTCTGCGGAGGGCTTGGCGGCTTGGGGGAGCCGGAGCGTGCAGGGCTCACTGGCCGCAGGGGAGGACGGTCCACTGGTTCCTTGGACGAGGTCACCTGGAAGCGCCCGACAAGCTGGGGCTTCCCCTCTGCAGGAGACAGAGGAAGGAGAGGGGTCCGCAGGATGCAGGAGCCCGGCGTGGGCAGGGAAAGCGTGCGTCACAGGCCTCACCTTCGGAAATGGGCGCCAGTCTGACTTCGCCCAGGAGCGGCCACGCAGGACTTGGGGAGGCCTGCATGGGACGGGTGTGTGAGGAGAGAAACGCCGGCTGCGGCCTCCCAGGTCTGTCACCCCGCCCAGGCTCCTCACCTCACTCTCAGCCTCAGCCCTGTGGGGCAAAAGACTCTCCTGACCTCCAGGAGCAAGCAGAGGCAGAGGCGGCGGGCCAGGCTGGGGGCCAGGGGGTGCTGGAGGACCCTGGGCAAGGACCCCAGAGGAGGGGGACAGCAAGGACTGGGCCACCGTCATCACAGCCAGCGAGAAGGCACTGGCCAGGGAGAGGAGAGGGCCTGTGGTGGTGGGGGGGAGGGAAGGGGGGGAAGGACAGGGAGAGAGAGGGGGACTCTGGGGGCTGCTAGGGGGGGAGCCCCAGGGATGTGGGGGGCTCGGGGCCTGGGCCACGCTGCAGGGAGGCGGAAGCGGGGAGCTGGGTGGCTGTGTGGGACGACTGGAGAGCTGGGTGGCAATGAGCGGACATGGGGGCGAAGCGATGGGGAAGGTGGGGGCTGCAGGAGACAAGGGCGTCCCAGGTGGAGACGAGGAGGCGGAGAAGGCGGCCCAGCTGCACTGTCCCGGGCCAGTGCCGCTCCGGAGCTCTGCTGGGGACGGGGCCTCGTGAGGTTCCAGTCCCCAGCGTCCCTTCCCAGAAGGGTCCTGCGGTGGGCCGGGCAGGGCTGGGACTCCGTACACGCCACTGGGGGGCTCCACGAGGGCGGGCAGGGGAGCCGGCTCCTCCTGAGGGAGACACGGGCCTGGGTCACGCTGCAGAGCCTCAGGCCGGGCTGAGGTGTCTGCCTGGGGCTCCGCAGTGGGCCGAGCTAGCAGGACGGGGTTCCTGGGGTTCAGAAGTGCACACACAGAATCAAGAGGGTGAGGACCAGGGCTGTGGGAGCGTTCTCCGAGGCGCAGAAGAGACGCCTGCTCCTATGTGTGTTCGTGCTCAGAGGGACGAAGACAGGCTCTTAACAGCTGGCGAATCCGGATGAAGCCGCCCAGGAGTTCTCCGTCCCTTCCTGCCACCTCCTCCCCCCGACCCCCCGCCTGAAATTACTTCAGAGTAACAGCTGCTTTTAAAAGTTTACGTCCACCATGCTTCTAGAACGAGAGGCCACAGCTCTCAGCACTCTCAGACGGGGTGAAGGCAGTCTTTAGTCCCGAGGGGAAGGGAGCTGACCTGAGGACGCCCCTGGGGACAGGGCCACTCGTGGAGGGGCCCAGCGGGGCCTGACCTGGGGGCCTGGGGCGTCTTCAGCAGCCTCGGCCGGGCTGGGGTCTCTCTTGAGCAGACTCTCCACCCGCTGGATGACCTCGCGGATCCGCCTCAGGAAGCCGTCGCGCTCAGAGGGCAGGATGAACTCATTGTACACCTGCGAGGGTCACGGGGCGGGAGGCGCTCAGCCACCTCGCTTCTCCGGACCTTGCTCTTCGCCCGGCCGCTCATGCCCCTGCTTTCGCCACTGCCAGCCTCCAGCGAGTGGTCACTCGGTCCCCCTGGGGGCCAGACCGGCGGCGAGGGGAGAAGGGCAGTGGGCAAGGAAAGGCATGAAGTCACGGGCCGCGTGTCGTGAGCACACCAGGTGCCTGGCACGAGCATCACAGTTGCCACCAACAGTTTTCTTTCGGGGGTCTCGCACTTCATGTCAGGGCGAAGATAACCAACGCTCAAACAGGCGTTCAGGAGCCCCAAGGGCACAGGCTTCGAGCCCAGGTCACAGAAAGCCGAGCCCGCGCGCTCTGCACTGCCGCCTTGGGCCCTGCCCACATCAGGCCCGTGACGTGGACACAGAGGGCCCCGGACACCCGCGACAGGCAGAAATAAGCCCAAGAGGTGAACGTCACACCTCACTGCACAAGCACCGGGTGCCTACTGTCTGCCACGCAGGTACCAGGCACTGCGCCTATGGGCAGCAAGAAACGTGGGCCTAACCCTAGGCCCAAACTCGAGTGGAGGGGCCGGGTCAGCACCACCACCTCCCGCGGCGCGTAGGAGCCTTGCCCACAGCGACTGCGCACAGACGCTTCCGGTTTGCGGCTGCTGTGCCGTGGGTACAGCGGCTCAGCTCTGCAGGTGAAAACACCTGGAAACCTGTTTCACGACATGACGGCAACAAACAACAACAAACGGTACATTAAAATGGTTACAAAGGTGAAACTGATGTGTGTGTGTTTGTTTTTGAGACAAAGTCTCACTATGTACTGCAGGCTGGCTTTGCACTCACTGTGTAGCCCAAGCTGGCCTGGAACTCACGGCAGTCCTTCAGCCTCAGCTTCCTGAGTGCTGGGATTACAGCTGTCTGCCACAACTGGCTTGTGTGGTATTTTGTTGTTGTTTACCATGCACACACAAAAACCTGTAGCCAGTGTGGTGACAAGCCTGTAATTTCAGCACTCTGGGAAGCTGAGGCAGGAGGATTGCAAACTGGAGTCCAGCCTGGGCAACTTAGTGACTTAGACAGGCCCTGTCTCAAGGAAAAAGTGGACTGGGAATGGAGCTCAATGCAAGGGCCTTGCGTTTAATCCTAGCACAACAACAATGAAACACTCAGAAGTCTGTAATTGATCACCAACCACCTTCCCCTCAAGAAAGTGCTGTTCCAATGACCTCCTGGCCCAGTCATACAACTCCAGGGTTGGGTGAGCCTGAGACCTTGCCATGGAGGAAGTCTTTGGAACAGGACCTGACTTCCTTTTTTGTCTTTCTGAGACAGGGTCTCGCTATGCAGTTCAGGCTGGCCTTGACCTCACTCTGTAGCCCAGGCCGGTCTTGAACTCACAGTGATCCTCCTGCCTCAGCCTCCTGAGTGCTGGGATCACAGGCATGCGCCACCATGCCGGGCTTGGACTTCACTTCTCTGGAGTAAGAAAAGCAGCCCTTTACAGAGTGCCATATGTGGCCACTTCTCACGCGCTATACCTTCTCAACTCAAGATATCTTTGCCAAACAGGTATTAGCACCTGCAGAACAACTGGGTTCAGAGAAGTTAGGAAACTTGCCCAAGGGGCTGGGATGCGCTCGGGGGCACTGTGCTTGCCTAGGCTGTGTGAGGTCCTGTGGCTTAACCCCCGGCTCCAGAAAAAAGACAGGGAGGGAGGGAGGGAAGGAGAAACTTGCCCCGATTCCCTGAATTGAAGCAGAGCCGAACCCTGAACTGCACGGGGCACACGAGCCAGGCCTTCCGTCGGTTCCACCCTGCTGGCCACAAGGAGACAGCAGAGCACAGGCGGAGAGGACAGCGACACAGCTCCGAGCGAGGGCCCAGCACAGGGAGCGGGGCTGCGGCTCTGAAGGCCACGCTTCCTCGTTTGGTCCCTACTCTAGAACCGCGAGTCGCCACCAGCTCGGACCCACATCTCAGGGGCCTCTGCTGCCGGAGTGAGCTGGTCAGGGGAAGGGATGGAGCCTGGGCTTGCAGGATGCCAAGTGGACAGAAAGACCCGGCTGCGAAGGCTCCAGGGTGACAGACCCCTGGTGACGCAGGAGAGAGTGAGTCCCAGCGCCTGGGTGTGTCCCCTCCCTCCGTCACCCTCAGGGTAGCATCCTCCGCCCCCACTGCTGTGCTCCGTGGGGAAGATGCTGCATGTCTTAGCAGAACCCCTTGTGAAAGCCAGGGTGGGCCTGCTGTGGGCTGCACCCTGCCCCACCTTTCCAAAACGCCTCGCCCGCTCGGCCTGGCGTCCTCCTGATGCTGCCTCCGTGTCGTGTCCTCCGCTGACCCAGCCTCCCCTCCTGCCCTAGCACAGGGCCAGCCGCCGGGCAGTGCTCTGCGAGCCTCTGGGCTCGGCCCAACCTACCGCCCGTGGCCACCCAGGACGCTGCCCGGCGGCTGGCCCTGCTCCCCCTCCCCGGCATCCCCGGCCCCTCTTAGTTAGTTTCTTCTGTCCCTCGCTCTGCGTCCACTCAGCAGATCTTCACGGGTGTCCACGCCCGCAGCGGTCTACATCAGCAGGTCACTGGAGCCCCAGGAACTGGTTTTCACGGAACAGCCCTTCCTCCCTCTGCCGTACCCCATCTCTCTCCTCCATCCGCACCCAGCTTCCGCGGTCCACCGCCCAGCCGGGCCCCCTGGCATAAAGGTCTTGTAAAGCCCACCCTCGTCTCGTCACGTGACACTGCCCTCCGCTAAGACCATGGACCACTTTGCCCTCTACCTGCCCTCCCCCACGTCACCATTCCAGGGGACCCTTCCTGCCCACGACAGTGGCTTCCTCTGGAAGTCCTTTCGGCTGCATGCCAGGTGGCGCCGCCTTGGGAAGCCTCTGCCTGGGCTGCACCTCCAGCTTGTCCCCGCTCCCTCGCCCCACTTGCCTCACACCTCGGGTAAGTCCTGCTTGCTTGGTCCCTGCTGCCCACCCACCCCGTGCTGACAGCCACAGCATCCCACCCCTGGCGTGCCCCGCCTCCGCACTCTGCGGACCCAGTCTGCAGGGCCTCCATGGCTCTGGCTGAGGGGCACCGTGCAGGGCCAACAGACATCTTCCCCGAGGGCAACCACAGGCGACCTCGGCTGCCGAGCTGAGCACCGCACGTCCCCGCCTGGCTGGGCTCCAGCCTGTCAGCACCACCGGGCACCCGCAGAGTCGATCACCCTGTCCTCACCCCCTCACCATGGCAGCGGCGATCTCCTCCGGGCTGTCCCCGTCCAGATCGAACCGGAAGGTCACCATCTTGCTGTTGTGGGTCTGCAGCTGGCACTCAACCACTCTGTCATTCTGGTCTGAGACCTTCAGATTCAAAGTCAGCGAGGGGAAGGTCAATGCCTGTGTCCCGCCACGTGATCCACTCCCGCCAGGCAGACTCCACCCCGGAGTCCGGCCCTGTGAACAGGACTGGCCGCCCAGGGTGCCGGATGCACACCCTCACCCCCCTTTCCAGCTGCTCCCCATGCTCTAGCTCCCGCAGCCCTCGTACATTTGTGACCCGTAGCCGGGATCGGGGTCTGCGCCGGAGTGTCCTCCCTGGGGGCCTGCGCATCCGCCCCAGCCCCTCGCCCATGTCGCTGAGGCCTGACGCCGCGTCTGAGGGACAGCTACAGAAGGCAGGAGAAATGGGTGTCTGAGGGGCCCTGGGACCCCAGAGCTCCCTGCGTCTCAGCCTGGCACCCCAACTCTCACCACAGCATACCTGTCCCCGGGGGAAAAGTCACTGCCGGGGCCCGTGCGTGGGATAGACACCGCAAAAGCCTGAAACGGGGGAGGGCTGTGAGGCCAGGGCAGTGGCGCCGAGGTGCTCAAGGACACCACATGGGAGGACGTCCCGGTGGGAGCCTCCCTGGCGGGGGGCCCTGGGTCACAGGCTTCGAAAGGCCAGGGCCCCACACCACGACGCCCACTCACCGAGGGCAGATGGAGCAGGGGCTCAGAGGGGCTGAAGGGCGCCTCCCCAGGGGGCACACGGGCAGGGTCTGAGGCGTCCAGGAAGCCAGAGGAGCTGAGGTAGCCATCGGTCTCGCAGTCCGCTGGTGGGGCCAAACGGGTCAAACAAAAAGCAAAGACAGGGTGGCACAGGAGGGGGCGTGGCAGGGCCGAGCGGGAGCCGGGGGACAGGGGGCTCCCCACAGGTGGGAGGTGGCCTGAGTGCGTCACCTGGCGGGACTTCAGGGGCCCAGGGAGCAGGAGCTGGGGCCGGGACTCACAGGTGGTAGAGGAGTAGCTGGCGTGGCGGAAGAGGAAGGACTGGTGCTGGTCTGCCTCTGGCTCCTCGGGCTCGGGGGCGAAGGTGCCCGGGGCAGCAGGGGCCACCAGGACGGTCTCGGGCACAGGTGCTGGCTTGGGTGGCAGGGCCTCCAGCTCCTGAGCTCTCCGCAGCTTCTCACGTTTCCGCTGGATGGCGGCGACCCGCTCACGCACTGCCCGGGCCACTGGCTGGTAATCGGCCTCGCAGACCAAGCCCAGGGCCACCTAGGACGGGGATGAGGAGATGGCTTAGGACCTACTGTGACCAGCACAGAGGCTGCCAGAGTACAGCCTGAGCAGCCACTGAGCCGGGAGAGGCCGACGCCCTAACACGGCCACCAACACATCCTGTCAGTGACGCTGAGAGGCATCTGGCGTCCTCACCGCTGCTGCTCGTAGAGGACCCCAGGCTCCCGCCTTCCCGGCCAGGCCTTGGAGCCCAGCCCCCAGGCTTCCGCCCCCATCTCTAGGTCCACTTCCCAGGCTCCCTCCCACCAGCACCCACCCACTGCCTGCTCATCCTCCTCACTCGTTTCAGAACAAGCCCTGCTTGGGTGAGGAGACACCGGCCAAGGTGATCTGACTTAAAACCTCAATGTTAAATGCAGTTTGCCATCCTAGCACTTGGGAGGCTGAGGCAAGAGGGTCGCTGCAAGTTTGAGTCCAGCCTGAGCTACATAGTGAGGCTCTGTCTCAAAAAACCAACAACAAAACCCAAGCCCCACTGTAGCCAGAGACCTGTGTTTCATTTTCACTCTTGAGGGAAGCCTTGTGGAGTGGGTGGTTCTGAGCATGCAGGAGGATGAGAAAAAGAACAAGGGAGGGAAGAAAGGGGAGAGGATGAATTGATGAACCGGTGAGCAGGGCTGCAGGGCGGACAGGTCCGCAGGGGACCAGGACACTGGCAGGGCGCAGTGATTCAGGGCAGGGGGCGCAGTGAGGCCACTCCTGGCTCTGCTCACCATCTCCTGGGCCACCTCCTCAGCCACGTCCCGGCCCAGCTGGAACAAGAACTCGATGGCCTGGTTGTCCCTGGGACGCCCCCCGCGCCGCACATCCTCCATGCGCAGCCAGAGCTTGAGGTCGGGCTTCTGGCCGTCATCCTCCTCCGCCAGCTCCACGTGCACGCCGCGCTCCTCGCGGAAGAAGGCGTGAGCCAGCAGGTCCTGGATGGTGAACCTGGGGGCAGGGGTGAGTGAGCCGGTGCCCTCCCCTCCTCCCTTCCCACCCTCCCAGCCGCGCCCTCGGCCCACCTCTCGTTCTTGTCTGTGCGGATGCAGCCCTCGATGATCTCCTTCACTTCCGGCATCTTCACCTTGTAGAAGCTGTTCGGCTTGGTGCCCTGCGGGGTTGGGGCAGGGACATGAGGCTGGGGGCCTCTGTGTGGGCTCTGGGCATGGTACCCGCCGCCCAGGCCAGGAGCCAGCGTGAGCCTGACAGGGCTCCTGCTGAACGCTGCTCCTTGTGAAACACGGCTGGACCTGCCTGCCCACCTCTCGGGGGGGCTACAAGGGTCTGACAAGAGGTGGGGCCCAAGCTTGCGAACACTCGGGAACTGTGTATGTTATTACTCTAATACACATTGGGGTTTGTGCCTGCGTGTGCACACACGTACCCAATACCCTTCAGTGCACACTAAGGCATCTTTGGGGAGGGGCAGGGGAGTAGGGTTTTGTTATGTAGCCCAGGCTAGCCTCTGAGCATGCCTCCTGTCTCAGCCTCCCAAGTGCTGGAATTACAAGCGTGCGCTACCACGCCAGGCAGGCCAGGGGATCTTATCACCTAGCCTGTGTTTGGGAGAAAATGGCACCAACTGCAGCCCAGCTGGGGCAGGAAAGCAGGAGGGCGGTGGGAACCTGCTCCGAGGCCCCGCCCTCACCGAAGTGACCTTGCGGTAGATCTGTGCCGCATTCTGGCACTCTGAGTACGGGTACTCGGAGGTGGCCATCTCCAGCATGCACATGCCAAACGCATACACGTCCACAGCTTCGTCGTACTTCTCCTCATACATCTCAGGGGCCATGAATTCCGGGGTCCCTGTGAGGTCCACAGGGAGTCAGGCTGCTGTGCCTCCCCCACCAGGGCCATCTCTCCACCTGGCCTGGAGCAAGCTGGCGACAGCCCCGGCCTCAGGCATGCGTGGGTGCCGCCGTTCCCCAGCCTCCCATGGCCCCCTAGCTCCTGTGTGGGGAAAGCCCGAGGGAGGGAGGGAAGGTCCCAGGCTGTTCGGACACAGGAGGGGGGCAGCCACGGCAGCGCTCCTTCTAGAGGGACACACCGATGACACTCTTGGCAAAGGAGGCGCGCTTGAGCGTGGCCAGGCCCAGGTCCCCGATTTTGACAGAGCCTGTGGGGCCGGTGATGAAGACGTTGTCACACTTGAGGTCCCGGTGCAAGATGGGGGGCGCCCGGGAGTGCAGGAAGTGGAGCCCCCGCAGGATCTGGCGGCTCCAGCGCTGAAGGACCCTGGGCTTCATCTCCCGGAAGCGCCTCAGGTACCTGGGCGTGGGCGACACCAGGGTCGAGGTGGGGAAAGGGCCTTCTCCCTGCCCAGGCTGGCCCTGCATCTGCCTCCCACATCACGGCCCCAGGCCAAGCCCTGGGGAGAAACTGAGCCAAGGTCCAAGAATGGGCACCAGGGACAGGAAGGCATGGGTAAGTGTCCGGGGCCGGAAGAAATAACCCCTGTGCCTCAAGGTGGCGAAGTTCAAGGGTGAAAAACGAACTGGATGGAGACTTCCCAGGCAGAGGGGACGCACGCTCGTGCTCAGAGGGAGGCAGGGACACGGCCCAAGACAGGGCAAGGGGGAGAGTGCTGGGAACTAGGTTTGTCTAGAATCAGGAGGCACACAGGAGCCCGGGGCTTAAGTACTTTGAGAGTAGTCTAGCAGCATGGACTTTGTTCCCAGGGACCGGGAAATCTTGACGGGTTTAAAGGAGGAGTCACAGGTTGGAGGTCTGGGCTGTGGGAACACTGGGTACTGAAGGAGGGCAGAGCCAGCTTGGGGGCTGCTGCCAGGGGTGCAAGGGAGCAGGGCGAGGCAGCGGCAGGGAAGACCTGCCCCGGCCGGCACAGCTTGAAAACCTTCTCCCAGGAAAGGACCCTGGCCCGGTGGGCGGGGTAAGTGGTGCGGGGCCCCAGGGGTGCAGGAAGCAGCGGCCCCGCCCCACGCCGCCCCCTGAGCTCACGTCTTGAGCGTGCCTGAGGTCATGAGTTCGGTGACCAGCACGATGCACACCTGGCCCCTCAGCACCGACTTCCACGAGTCGTAGAAGCGGACGATGTTGGGGTGCTGCAGCCCCTTGAGCATCTCCACCTCCTCAGAGAAGCGCTGCCGCTCAGCTCGGGACAGCTTCCGCGTCTGCGGGGTCGGGGGTGAGGTCCGGTCAGGTCTGGGCCCCGGGGTGAGATGGGAGGATGCGGCATGCAGGGCCCCAGAGGGTGAGGACTGGAGCCTGCAGGTGGGGTTCAGTGCTAGCATCACTCTCCCGGTGGGCGGCAGCCCCTACACTCCTGCTGGGTCCCTTCGGGTTGCCCCGAGGACACACCCATCCTGGGCCGGCAGTGGACCCCCACTGGACACAAGCGCCTTTATGCTGCCCGGTCCGGGTTTGCTCAGCTCAATAGCGCCTTTGTGGCCAGCCTGGTGGCCGTGGGGCTGGCAGCGGGCAGGCGGCAGGCAGAGCGCAGGCAAGGATCTGGGGCCACTGAGGGGTTGCCCCAGAAACTGGGAACTGCCAGATTCAGACAGCTGGCGAGGGAGTGAAGGAAGTAAGGGAAGACCCGGGGCCTGGCCCGAGACCCCGCGGGCCTCCCCTCCCCCACGGCGGGCCGGGGCCTGGGCGGGGCACTGGCACGGGAAGGAGCGCGGCCAGGGGCCGGCTCCGTGCCAGGGTGCAAGTGGTGGGCCCTCCCCCGGGGGCTGCCCCCCAGTCTGAACCTGGGCTGCCGGGACACAGCCGGCCAGGTCGTCCCCGCCCACAGCGGAGCGGGCCGTCAGCGGGGAGGTCCGGCCAAGCCATGCCCTCTGGGTCTCAAAGGACGCGTCGGGGCAGAGGGGCGCGCGGCAGGCCCGACTCAAGTGGCCGCCCCTCCGCGCGGCGCGGAGGAGCCCGGCAGTCGGCCTGCTCCAGACCGCCCCGAGCCCCTCCGGCGCAGCCAGGACCCAGCCTCCCGGCCTCCCGGTCCGCGGAGGGGCGGGCTCCAGGGCCCGGGTCGCCGCGAAAGCCTCAAGGAGAAGGGGCGGGGAGAGCGAGGGCAGGCGCCCTGCCGGCCCCAGCCCCGAGCTGGCTCCCCGCCCGGATTTCGCTACTATTTCCAGCTCTCGGGGCCCTGCACACGGATATCTCGGACATCTCGCAGTGAGAGCCCACGCCTGCGGAGCAGCCGCCAGCCACACACCACCTGCCTCAGTTTCTCCTTCTGAGCCCAGCCCGCGTCCCACAGACGGGCCGCCGGCGGGGAGGGTGGGTGTGGGCCCACGGCGGCGAGAGCGTCCTCCCTTGCCGCTGTCCCCTCCCCAGGGCCCCCGGGCCCCCTCCCGAGGCGCCGCCGCACCTGCAGCTCGCACCACGCCACCTCCACCGTGGTGTCGGTGTCCAGGCCCCGGTACACCGTCTTGAAGGAGCCGCGCCCGATCTCGATGTCAAACTTGAGATACCGGCCGTCCGGGGACGTCGCCACGGCCTGAGTCTCCGTGTCCTCCTTCTCCTCCAGCTCCCGCCGCCGCTCCCGGGCCGCG